AGTAATTCGAAGTATGAAATTTCTCTCGACAAAAAAGTCAATGTTGTAAAATATTTTACCGTGCCGATCCACTAGGACTGCGGCTTCTAGAGCCGCTCTTCGACCTTGAACCCGACCGAGATCGTGATCTGGATCTCGAAACGGATTTTGATTTTGAACGACTCTTGCTTCTGGATCTGCGTTCATCCGGCGATCTACTTCTTGACCTTGACATCGCTTTCCTTGATCCACTGGGTGATCTTGACCTTGATACGCTACGTCTAGATCCTGACCTTGATCGTGCCTGCGATCCACTTTTTCGTGAACCGCTGCGAGATCGTGACCTCGATTGACGACTGTTTCTTGAACCAGACCTTGACCTGGAGCCTGACCTTGAGCGAGACCGACTCTTTGCTGAGCCTGATCTTGATCTTGACCGACTCTTAGACCGAGACGGACTTCTGGACTTTGATCCGGATCGCGACCTGGACTGCGATCGGGATCCCGATCTTGATCGCGATCGCGAACTACTTCTAGAACGACTTCTGGATTTCGATCTGGAACGAGATCGCGAGGCTTGCGAGCCTTCGGAATCTGATGCAATTTTTCTGCTTCCACGTGGGCGACTCTCGTTGCCGCTTTCACCCCTGTAAACCAAATTAAATGTACAATTAATCCGTTCAATGAGTCATGTTTTTTGCTAGGTCATTTGAAATCGTTCTTACCCGCTGGCAATTTTAAGTCCTCCTGAATCACTGTCCGATTCACTTGTCGATATAGTCTCCTTCGATAAGGGCATCTTGCCCTTCGAAAACTCAGCAGTACTCTTCCTAGATCCTTTGTCTTTTTTAATGCCAGCCTTTCTTCCGCGCTTCGGTTTGGGTCGATCACTTTCAGAACCTAATTGTGGAATTTAGGATATTTTACATTCTGGTGTGAATGAAAGGTTGCGTGAATGAAAGATTGCTTGTTTAATAGATGACACTTACCACTTTCACCGCTACCCATGTCCTTCTTGCGCTTGCCTTTGCCCTTGCCTTTCTTTTCTTTGCGTTCACCGCTGACTTTCCTCTTGCGCGGTTTCTTCTCCCTCGGAGCTTCTTCTCTTCCCTCTTCTCTCCCGGAACCGCCGCTGTCGCTTACATACTGATCAGTACGTACTTTCTTACCTTTCCTGCCGGGCTTTTCCGAGGGCATTTCGCCGAACACCAGCACGTTTTTAGTCTTTTCAACGTATTCCTGCCGCTTCTGTAGCATCTCTTCTTCCTTCTGTCTTCGTAATTCCTCCAGTTTACGTTGTTCCTCCGTCTGGCGCATTTTAAATGCTTGTCTGGAAATATTTTTCAAATGTTATTGTCGTGATCAACAACAGTACTTCGACAGGACATAAATCGTTAAAATGTTTGCGCATGTTAACGTTATTACCGTTCTTCCTCTTGTTTCCTTCGTAACATTTTCTCCTCTTCGTCCAATCTTCTAGCTCGAGCAACGTGATACTGCGCTTGAGACAATAAATCTTGGCATCTCCTAGCCTCCGCTTCCGCAAGTTGTTCCATTCTGTCCCCGTGTGTTGACAAATACTGGAAATATTTATGCGAGAGTCCCAGCTCGTGTACTGCTTGGAGTACAGTAGTCAGAGTCGACTTTTCATCTTTCAATATTTGCGTTGCCAAACGTTGAAGCACAAGCGCAATATTGTACAACAAAACCGTATCTTGCGGCGCTACCCTCCGTGCCTGCAATCAATGCAATTCGTTGAACTTTTCTTCCAGTAAACAAGGAAAATATGTAACGTAGCGACAGACTATTTTCGCTTACCTTCAACAATGTCAATTTTGCTTCCTTCAATTTGCCAGCTTTGAAGTAAGCTCTGCCGAGATATTGAAGAACTTCCACATGATGGTACTTGTAGAATTTTCGGAGGCAATTCTCATACTATACAATGATATTTATCAAATAGAATAACGTCGTTGAATGAGTTCTTAATTGTAATTAGAGATTGTTACCATTTGAATAGCGCTGACAAATTGTTTTTGTTCCACGTATATGTGCGCGATGTTCAACCAAACGTCGCAAAATTCAGCGGTCGCCTCCCTCACCTGAGCGAAAATGTCTCTGGCTTCATTCACGCAGCCTTTATGTGCTAATACAGCTCCAATTCCGTTCGCAGCCCAAATATTTTTGGGATCGTTTCGCAAAACCTAGAAATTATATACCAACTGTTGCATGCGCGGATACTCGATTGTAAATTCGAATTATTCACGACATTAATACCTGTTTATACATAGCCAGCGCTCTGTCTTGATGACGTTTCTCCCGGTCTTTATCTTTTCCGCTCTGATGCAAAGTTTGCAACCAGATGTTGCCCAAAGCAATTAACGAATAAGCGTCCGTGCTCGTCGTTGGATTCTTCAAGATTCTCTCGAACTTCTTTTGACCAGGACCCCATTCCATTTTAGCCAAATGCAAATTTCCCAAAAGGGACCAAGCATCCGGATGTTCATTATTGATTCTCAAAGCATCTTTGAACCAATCGGAGGCTTCGTAGATTTGTCCCTTATCTCGTGCCATACACCCAAGTCGCAAATAACAATCTACGTAGTTCGGATGTTCCTTTAAAATGTCTTTATACAATTTTTCTGCTTTGTCGAAAACGCACAAAGCTTCATTCAGTCGTGCTAAATTGTATGTTGTTGTGACCGCGATGGAATTATAGTATACAGAATCGTGTAAGGCATCAGCTTTGGAGCGCGCTAGTGATTCTTCCAAATTTTTTCTGGCTTCTTCTAAATTTCCAAGTCTGCAGTATAAACATTGTATGTGTAAATAAAATATAAAATGTTCACCCGAATGAAATGCTGGTTATGTACCTATAATGTAGGGCTCCAACATTGTTTAAAATTTCAGGTGGTATGTCTGCTTGAACTTTCTCTTTTAAAATTCTAGTTGCAGTACCGTATGCATTTAAGGCTGCATTAAGGTCACTTTGTTCTAATATTTGAGCTAGCTCAATCCATGCTTCAACGTCATCAGGAAACTGTTCGGTTACTTTCCGGAGATGATTTTTGGCGATGTCACGTTTTGACTGGGAACTCGAATTTGCATACAACGATCCGAGAATTTTCATCGTTTCGTAATTTCCTGGTTGGGCTTTCAACACTTTCTCGAAACACTGCGCAGCCTGTAATCGAAAAGCAACTTCTTTGAAATCTGTTAGACTCCTTGTTTAATTCATTGTAAGAAGTAATATTCTGCACATACATTTTCCGCATCACCCCTGTAAACATACATCTGACCTAAGCCAAAATGTGGTAATACAAAAACTGGAGGTGCAAATTGTGTTGCTTGATAGTAATATTGAAATGCTTGATCATAATCACCCTGAAACAAGTAATGAATTATTTATAAAACCATCAAAGGATATTAATGTCGCAGTGAAAAAATATTTACCTGAACATGAAAAGCTCTAGCTAGCTGATAGCAACTTTCTGCGCGCATAGCTTCATTTTCTGTATTGTGAAACGCATGGAGTGCCAGATGTTGCACTTTGTTATAATCTTTTTTAAAGAAGAAGTGATTTGCCAAGTGGTTTAATACCATAGGATTTGTTGAATCAATTGTGTAAGCTTTTGATAACATTTGTACTCCAGTTCTAATACTGTCAGGCTGTTGTTGATTTAATTTTAAAACTGACAATCCAACCAGTGCTCCAACACATTGCCCATCTAACTGTAAAGCTCTTTCGAAGGCCAAACGTGCTTTTTCTTGGTTATTTAATTTCATAAAACAATGTCCCATTCCTAGCCTCACTGCTGCTGGGCAATTGGGATTTGTTCTCAAAGCTTTTTTATAGAAGGCAAGTGCACCACGGTAATCCTTTTTGTTGAATGCTATGCATGCTTTACCAAGTAGAGAGGGGATATTATTTGGAGATTGATTCAGTACAAAATTGAATTGGGCATCGGCCTGATCCATTTTATCCCCTTCCAAGAGGCAAAAGTAAGCTCGGCCGAGTAAATGATTCTTTAACATAAATTATATTCATATGAGAACTATAAACATTTTTACCTCTCTAATGCAATAATACAAACAATATATACCTGGTCATACATAATGATCTTATCAGCTGTTGTATATAGCAATGTAGCTTTTGTAAAAAGATCTCTCTTTTTGTCCTTATTTTTCTCTCTGTTGGCCTCTTGGACATAGTATGCGGCCAACATGTCCAACGCGCGCATTTGATCTTTCTCATAGTCGCGATAATCAATATTTGCATCAATCCGAGAAGATTCAAGTATTTTAATGAAATCTTCAATTTTATGTTGCTTATAATATTCAAGCTGTAATAAAAAATTATGTTTCACGCATTGTGACCTTCCTATCAACCTTATTGTAACTACATTTCAAATACATACGGCCAAATTGACCCAGATATTAAGTTGTGCATGTTCTTGGCGTAAGATTCCAAGAACTTCATCTCCCTCTGGTAACTGATCGAGGTAGAGTTCTATTACCTAACAGAATGGAATGTCCAAATTAAAAAGACTATAGATGTAGGGTGAAATAATACAATGGCATGGTGAGGCATTTAATTAGACAAAGGATAGGTGAAAATTCAATTTATTGAAGAATTTCAATTAACAAATGGCTAACGACCGACATTTTAGTGTGTACGTTACAAATAAAGCACATACTAAAAACAACTTGAACAAAGTAAAGATATCGGACACAATGAGAATTAAATTGATCAAATGAAACGAAACAGCAGCCATTGAGATATCGTATCATAAAATAAATTTGTATATGTATGTATACAAATATTCGAGTAACAATGTGTACAGCTATATCGTATGCACGACGCTTTATTGCACAAGCATTCCACTTGGAGGTTAGGTTCACTAAAATGTCTTCTTATCACGATTTCCGGGAAAATTTCAAGTTGCACTTAACGGAGGTATGACAGGACACGTATTACTTTTTCCCAATCTCTTAAAAGTACAAAATTTGATGGGTAGAAACGATAATATTCACCTCGTCTGTGTCACGAAGCGGAATCTCTATGGAACCCGCCATTGCGGCATCGTCACTGATTTTCATGAAGCGTGGCCAACAGATGTCCCATTAAGTGAATGGTAAACACATCCCACAGCGCGGTTCTTTTGAATAACATAAATTGATTAATATCCTTAATAATTAAATCTTCCTACTATATTCAGTTTAATTTAGTCCAAAAAGAATATGTTAATAATCAGTTTCCAAAATGGTTAAAAAGCTTCCATATATATTTTAATCAATTACATCTTGCTCGTATCACTAATTCCTTTTTAGACACCATTTCGCAGGGCAAACATAAGGGTCAACGGTTAAAACAATCAGAAATAATCACATTGGTCATCACGTTTGTTCATTATTTTATTTGAAAAAAATATACGCAATACATGAAGTAACGATTAGACAATGTGTATGGATGATGCAATACGAACGTAGCGTAACATATGTACCCGTGACCGAAAACAATTCAAATGATCATAAACAAATAACATTCGATTCGCAATTATTATATAACAACGTGAAACGATTCAACGCTCGTCATTCGAATTCAGTAACAATCAGTTGCAATGTTCTTGCAACGTAAAAACTATTTTGAGCAACGAGGATATAAAACAGTTGTATCTCGATAAATATTTATAAATCACCAACGAAGATCACGTTTATACTATACAAATCGATGTTGGAACGGTTAAGTGTTTATAAAAGTGTTTTTGATTAACTGTGACGCGTCTTAACGCGCGTTAAGAATTTAATCGATGGAAATGCTTTATTTATACATGGTTGTCTCGTAACGTCGTATAAATGGAATGTTGTCGCACAATCTTCAGTGTAAAATCTCGTGTAAAACTTCAACTGTAGCCGATCACCGGCACGTTTACGAGTCCCGATCGCTCTGTACGTTTAGCGTGGGATTCCAGCCGTAATAACTTCCGTAAAAGGAAGTGAAAGCCGTTTCAGAACTGACGCTCGGTGGCACGCTCGTCAAGTCCATCGTTTCCCCTTCGGTGTCAAGGGTAGACACCCTGACGTCCAAGATGCCGCTAACGCCGGATATCCCTGAATTCCCCGGCATCTCTACATCACCGACGTCGGGATGATTCATTTGACTTAATATGATGTTACTTTAATCGACAGTTAATTCTGTATTAGTTTCTGAGATCAGCTGCGAGTGTCTGTTAAAGGTTAAATAAGGGCAGCAAAGTTTTTAAAGGGTACGAGGAATTTGAAGCATCAAGCTATTAAGTTAGGGAGTAGACTGCGGGTTAACACTGCAATTAATGATCCATAATCTGTTTCCATGTCTTTCAAAGTAGAACAATTTTTATAAAAAAAAGATTTCATGAAATAACGGATGAAAATTAAAATATATGTAAACGATTATGTCTTTGCTAAGAAAGTCAAAATATAAAATTCACCTGTAATCCGGTGCTGGGGGTTCAATGTTTTGCCTTCGAAGATTCGGCGGTATCGACGTTTTCTTTATCGCGTATATGTATATGCCAGTCATTATCAACGTGTACGAGACGAAATACAATATGTGAAACTGAAACAAGTGAATGGAGTTCGTTTATACTTCTGTTATTTGTACTTCAGGGAAATGAGATTTTTTAACAATTTTAACAATATGAGTATTAATGGCATACAATGATTACCTTATATTGGTGGAGCAACATGCCGCAGAGGACATTGAAATAATTAGCGGTGAGCAATGTCAGGTGTAGCGACGTCGCGCCCGTCTCGGCTAACACTACTGGTACTATAGAAAAGAACGCGAATTGGGCGAGGCAGTAGACTTCCAGGAATATAACCACCGGTGCATTGTACCACTGAAAAAAGTCTAGCTTGAGGCTTTCCAGCACGGCCCTAGAACATTGTCGAGGGTAATAATAATGAAACATCTAAAACCGACAGCGATATTAAGTCAGGAAACATAAATTTGTTCTATTACAATAGACTCACGTCTGCATGGAGCTCAATATCGTGCCATAGAAGCCGATCATGCCGAGATATTCGATCACGTCGACAGTTTTAAGAACCAACTCCTGAAGGACAGTTGTTATCGAAAATAATACCGCTCCACCGAGGCACAGCATATCCCCAACAAGATGATTTACACCTATAAGATTTTTATTGTTATTAGGTTAAAGTGGTAAAGTTTAACGATCATTGTTTCCAGATTTAAAGTTTGAAAGCTGAACGTTCTCAATAACATTGATGACGCGTCTGGTTGTATTTAATACTATTAGTAATGTTTATAATATCTAGTAGAGTACATTTAATATATTATTACTACGATCCAAGCAAGGGTTGGTCACCTGTTGAAGCAGCATCCTTATTGTCATCGATTCCCGCCCATACCAGGCAACCCACTCCCATCAGGCAAACGGAAATGCCGATGATGTGCACCATTCGGTACCTTACCCTAAGAATTAAACATGACAACACCAGTGCGACTGGTATAGAAACACAGTCGAGCAGCTGAAACATATTGACACATTGAACTTTGATACTCAGTGTTCGTATACGGATTCTTCGATGAGAAAAGAACAAGGTTAATAAGTTTGGAGAGATTCAGTTTGTTAGATTTAGTGAAAAGTGGAAAGCCAGTTATGGAAGTCATGTTAGCGGCACTTGTGTTAGTGATTTCAATGCAACGTTTGAATGTAATCAGCGATGAATAATGACGAAGCTTGCAATACTCTCGCATATCGCTTTATCAGGAATATCTGGTGAGGGTGATGGGTCGAAGACCCAGCGTCCTCCTTTCATTGACGATAGTAAACCCGATACACAATAGATGTTCCGCGCCATTCATCGCGACCACGAGTACGACGATGCTTTAATTGACGGCAGAAACGGCAGAACTTGCGGCAGCAATCGCGCACAGATTGTAAAGCACAACGCCTCCGTGTAATTGTTTAGGGGCGGTAGAAAGTGCGCGTCTATTTGCAACGGATACATTATTTTTAATTTGAATGGAACTCCATCTTGTACCTCGGATCATGAATAAACCAGTATTTTAAAGAAATGCGTTTCATGAAACGATAAACTGGCGAATCCGTTAAAGAGAGCGGTATCGTAAATTATTTATACATTCGCGCAATTTCATAAAGTGAGATGCAACTTTTATTTAATTGAAACAGTTTCGAGTGAACATTTTTAGAGGAAGAGAATAATTTTCATTTAAACATTTCTTTCGCTGTGCATATTCATAATTTTTAAGCGTTACGTAGTTAAGGAGAGCTTCATCATCGTTCTTCGGGAAAATGTAAAGTTGAAGTCTTGTGTGATATCGTTAGCGCGTACCTGTATGCTAGCTAGGCTGGTGAATTGATGCGAGGATGTTACAAGTGTGCATGCTTCGACGTCAATGAGTGCCAACAATAAGTACCTCAATCCACGGGCTCTTAACACGGAAATTAAATCTTTCCCTCTGCAGGACATCCAGGTTGTGTATACAAGGCACATCATAACGTAATGTGGAAAATTTTGTGCTGTCTCGCAAAAAAAAAAAGGATTTTTCCGATTCACAACGTCGGGACAAAGCGTACTTACATCGCCTTCCACATATGTCGAATATACCAGTCAGACGTTCGCTCGTTAATAACTTACCGGTCGGAAGTGCTAGTTGATACGTGGTGTTGATGTAGTGACTAGCCAGGGTCATCAAACACAATGCCACGGATAAGATTTGTCCTATTATTATCGCTCTCCATACTTTCCTGCGAATGAACGGGAATAAACGAGGAATGAAACTATACAAACACACCACACGCGATTACCGAAACTGGTTAATTGAACAAACTTCGATAATTCAAAATTCTGTTTGACCTTACACGGTTTCTTCGAGACAATGGAAAGCTGATGTTTTACATAACTATTATTTGCCCCTTTCACCTAAAACTTCAATTACAATAAAAGGTAAACACGCTCAACTATATTTATACCCGTCTCTTAAAAGACCGAACAATGTATCTGGACGATGCAGAAATCAATAGATACGTCGAACTTTTTCAAAAGAACCACAAAAGAATAATCACCGTTTAAAAAATAAAGACGGTAACTGTACGATCTCTAACTGGTAATCACAACGAAATGAAATTCCTTCGAAATGATGGGGCACGTGTATAAGAGACATTTCGCTAAAGCAGAAGAATTTTCATGCACACTGACAATCGCGAGAAAAATCTTGGCGAACACCCGCCACTTTTATCATTGAAATCCTTCCCCCCTCTCCGGTCGCCGGTATGAAGCCGGTCCGAGGGTGCTGTCCGCGAAAGTTTATCCCGCGTGTTAGCCTCGCCACGTTTACGTACCACTGTCCAAGATCGGACGCGTAATTTTGGATCTTGTAGCAGAGCCCGTTTCTGGGCTGCTGCATCACCGTATTATCGACACAGCGAGGATCTTCCGCTGACACTCCCATGCCATGGTGCATTTTCGCCTTCAGGCACTTGCCGCCGGCGCTAGGATAGGGGCGCCTGCGCGACCTCTTTCCCTCCGACGGCCCTTTTCCGCGGCAGGACCGCGACTTTTTTCGTTTTTTCGGGAACGCGACGAGAAACGGCGTACGCGTCGGAAAACACGGCGTACCACTGTTGCTCTAACAGCTTCCTGTTACTCTCCTATTTCCATCGATCGCACCACGCCGTCGCACAGTGCTCCGCATTCAGGAAAGGTGTGCCATTTTCATGAAAAATGGATTTTCTCGTATCGAGGCTTAGCAGATTTATATTTCTCCTTAAATGTCAAACTCGGGAGTGAGATTTTTTTTAGATCTAATCGAAATTACGTTGTTCAATGATATTTGTTCAATGCTTGAGGACATCAACAAATGAAGGCATGTCGACTTTTTTTAAACACTTGATCGATATAGGTGTATCGAATGTAAGAATGCAATCAATTATAAACAAGTAAGGAATTAAATGCAGAAACATTAGAGTTAACAATCAAGAGTTATACGATAATGTCACGCTTTAATTTAGACCATTGTCCGTCGGCGAGGTGACGGAAGATCGACGAAGCTTCACGACTTACCTTTTTTCTTCTCCTGAAGAGCAATCTCCGGGGATTCTGTTAGATCGATGAGTCGTTATCGACGGGTTATTGCGGGAATGCTTTAATTTGGTCCTCGGTGGTTTTAAAGTTGTAAGGTTTTGAAGAAGCAGAGAGTTGGGATGATTTTGAAAGTTTCAGGATGATCAGTGGATCAAATTTAAAAGGGAGTATCGTTTAATAGATGGTTTAATAGTTGGTAATTAGATTCGACAAGTAGATAATGGTACCAGTTGGTGATAAAGGAGGAAATACATTGACGCTATCGTTGGCAGCAAATGTGTGATCGTAGATATAGTGAGAAAACTTAAAGAAGTATGTCTTTCTTTATTCTCAGGTAATCTCTTCGTAGATCGTTATTTACAACGTATTGACATCTTTGATTACATCGCGATTTCAGTCGTCAATGATCGTTAAAAAGTTCTCACGTAGAGGTTCCTCGACACATTTTTATATATAAACTTTAAACACCTTCAACTTACAATAACCATCTTACCGTATAGAATCTCAAACATTACGTGGATGAATTAAATTCTTATGCACAAGTGTGGTCGGCCGACGTATGAAAAGAAGGCAATCGATAACGGTTTTCATGATAATGCAAGATTTGTGCAATCGGTTCCCCGTAAATTCAAATGACTCAACAATATGTTTGCAAATTACCTATCTAAGGAGGAAACTGTTGGTTAATACGATCCAGCCATCCATACAAAGTTGGAAAAATAGGTTGGAAAAATATTTTCACCAGTCTCCCAGGTCCTTGTTCGTCCTCAGCAGTGGACACGCGATTCGGTTTCCGGTACGAAACGTGCGCGCAGCTCGCTCGAGTTTCCAGCAACGAGGCGCGTCCCGTTCTTAAGAGTGTACGTTCAACGTTTTACTTTATCTATTAACGTACACGCGTGAACGTTACATCCTAAAATTCTGATCATAGCCTGACAAACGGTATTAATACTAGAAATACCAACCAATCAAACTGACTAGCTTACGATTCCTCAGAAAAGTTATAATAGTGCATTCGTCGAGGCAGAAGAAATTTATCTATTTAATTAATTCCCCGGAAAAGCACCTTTACGATTTTAATAATCGCTAAAGAAGGAACAGATCACTTTGATCCGTCTGGTAATTCTAGTGTTAATGCATCACATCCCCTTCTGCGTGTAGAAATTGGAGACTACGATTATCGAAGACGTTTCAGGAAAGCGTGTCTTCCTTACGCGGTAACAATCGATTGGTCGTTCGTGCACGATCACACGGGAAATTAGATCTTCTTTACTTCTTCTTCGCTTCCTCCTCTACCGCCTCATTCTGCTTTCGGAAGCAATCTCCGACCGGGAAGAAGTCCCAACACCTTTGCTGGTACATGTTCCATACGTACGTTTCCTGACCAGTATACTCGGTGTCCGGTTTGTTGATCAAGTGCATGAGGAAGAACCTACAATTATAGATGGAAAGATATTAAACTTAACAATTTTCTTAGGAACAGGGTTAATACCCAGTTTGAAAAGAGTGATGAATATTTTCTTCAACCGTTTCGAAACTTCATGAAATTTCAGATGGTAATCTGTATAGACTCACATGTAATTAGCAAGATTGTGCTCCTGTTGAACGTGTGTATCGAAACCATGAGGAACTGTATCGAAATATTCCTTGCCTAAACCACAAATGAAGCAATTGCTCTCCATATTTGTCTTCACGTTCTCGAGCTGGTCTCGAAGTTCACCAAAAGCGTCGATAATCAAACCTGAAGACAATTTGATAGATTAAAAGGACGAAAGACCGAAAGATAAAATAGGAAAGATGACTTGAAATACATGTTTGGATCTACCTTGAATGATAGCCAGCAGAATGACAATGACAAAGAAGAAGAAAGTGATATCGAACATGATACGATAAACTTCGTAATCGTCACCATCAGGTTCGCCGATCTCGTCGCCGATTCCACCACCAGCTCTGACGCCTTTGTACAGGTGGAACACGAAACACTGAAAAAAAAGTATACATATATATATCTAACGTTAAATTTAATTATAATCACTGACTTATGAAAATATTCTTGCCAATTCATACCGTTAACATGTCATGACACTTCTTGTCCACTTCGTCGTCCTCCTCTTGTATATAAAACTTTCTGAAGAAGTTGAAGGCTATGACCGTGTATATGTACACAACGATTGTCAGCAACATCACCGTCAACACTAATTGTTTGCCGTTGTGTGTTACGGATTGCAAGATCGTACGAAGCGTCTTGAAACCAACCGCGACGTCCAACAAGTGGGCAGCGAAGAAGAAGTTGTTGTAATTACCGAGGATCGAAAATATGAAGTACCACAAGCTGTACAAAAATGCCTAAAAAAAATTCCAATAAAATTTAATATCAAGCAGTCGATATCGATTTGATTTGCACTGTGTATTCAAAATACACTCACGTTGTCCGTGATGGTAACGCCAGCTTTCCAAACTTGATACCTCCAATCGATATTCACGATACTAACACGAGATCAAATATTTTAGAAGACAGTAACATAGAATCAGATCTGTTTTAAGGGATTTTACTTACAAATGAATCAATCCAGACCCTTCTTCTTCTTGCTGGCTGAACGATGTCTTCTCCATGCCAAGCAGGTTGCTGATGTAGTCAAAGTCGTAGGTCTCGCTGTACTTCTGTCGGACTTTCTTCTTCACGAATTTATCCCAGTAATTCACGGGGAATGTCTTCGCCGATATTACCATCTTGTCCCAATGTGCCTTGATGTCGTCTTCTTCCGGCGTCTCGGCGATGTATAACCCATCGAACTCTACCCTTCGCGCGATTTCCTTTTCTCGTTTGAAGATGGCCAGCGGTACCTGTATTAAAATATGAAAAAAGTACATTTTTTTTTGTCGAATTCTGTGTACTCTGAATTTCAGCATATTAGTTTTTCAAGAAATTCACATAATCAGATAGCAGTTACAGCTATATTTTGATTGTTTTCTCCAACCGAATGTAAGTCAAGTGGGAAAGTTGAAGTATGTGAAAGTTTTATAATAATTCATAAATTGAAAGGAAAATCATATTCGCGAGGTTTTGTAGAAGTACAAGAATTTGATTTCCGCACCTTCAAATGATAATAAGCGACCAGCATAGCGAGAGAGACAATCGAATGAAGAACAGCCATGAGCCTCATAACATGCGCCATGTAATAGAAATCCTCAGCCACTTCCACGTATTCCAAAGCGTACGCATCTTCCTCTTCCTCTGATTCGTTCTCCCCGCTGCCGCTTCCCATTTCCGCGCCACTTCCGCCGCCGTCACCGGAACCGGATGGACACTCGCCAGACATCTCCGCCAACATGTCCACCATCATTTGACCGCTGCCTTCCTCATCTTCTTCGCTAGCCAACGATGATACCTGGGAAAATCAACGATACACATCGTTAACGAAAGTGTCTCAGTGCCAAGAGATTCCCGCTAGAAACTTTACCTTGTAGAACAGCAGCATGAAATTGATGCAAAAAGCGAGAACCAAGGCAACATATTTCAAGTTATAGAAGTTCCTAGCCAAGAATGACACAATGCGATGTGTGTACTCGGAGAAATCGATACTAGACGACGAAGTTTCCGTTGTCGTCTCCTGCTTCGCTTCTGCCTCAACTGCAGCCATTGCTGCCTGCTGCGCAGCTGCCGCTTCGGCAGCGGCTGCAGCTTGAGCTCTGGCTTGTTCGCCACTGTTAATAGATCAAAACATTTTCGTCATAACTACCAGATATAAAAATGTTCGATGTTGATCATCACAGATGCTAGTATCCGTACCCTAATAAGTCAACCAAGGAAACAGGCGTTTCAGTGTCGCCACCTCCTTCAGCTCTAGCACCCTCGTCACCAGCGGCTTCCTCAGGTGTACTTTCGCCAGTTTCTTCGATACTTGATTGCGGTGTCGAAGTTGCCGATTCATGGGGCGCTATCTTAATCTGGCCGCCTTCTTCTTTCGTTATGTCCATTCCAAACGCCTGTACCTATAAAGAAATTAGACCCGTTTATTGCGAATTCAAGGATAGAGTTGGAAGGTTGCAGAATCATTGAAAACAGAATATCGCTATGATCACATGGAGACAGTTAAATCTAACCTGTAGATTAGACTCATCCGGAGTAGGTGGTAGAGCCGGTAGATGCCTCGACGGTTTCTCTTCCTCTTCCTTCGTCTCAACCACAGGTTCTTCCACGTGCGGTCCTTTCATCAACGCCAACAGTAATCCCATGAAGTATTTGATAACACAGCCGACACCGAAGCCAGAGTAGTAAAACGCGTAGAATATCGTCTTGAAGAAGCCAACGAAGAGTTCTAGTATCGTCATCTGTTGCATTTCAGCGATCTTGTTCTTGATGTTGCTGGGTGAGAATATGGAGAAGAAGAAATAGATGCTGTCCTTGAACGTTTGGATGCCCCGTCTGATCGGATCTTTGTTCCTCTCTTCGTCGTCGTCCGTCATATACGTATAAGAAGATTCTCTGGCCTTCCCGATTCCTCCGCTCTCCTCTACCGCCATCAGCGCGCTCGCGTGTTGCATTTCAAAGATAGCGTCTTCGCAAAAGTTGATGAACGTTTCCAGCTTCTCTTTCTCGCCGGCCTCTACAACAGTGTTGTAGAAGTATGTCCTCTTGGACTCCTTGATCTGCGGTTTCTCCCATTGTTCGATGTTCGACTCTTTGATCTCAAAGTATACGCGCTCGATCTTTTTGTTCCCGCCGAGGATCTCGATCCTGCCTAGGAATGGCTCGAAGTAATTCAATACGGAACCAGCTGTTTCAAGGAATCTCGCCAATCTGGGCTCGTTCGGCATATGCTCCGATAAGTTGGTCAACAGGACAGCAAGGTTGAAGCCGATTTCTTTTGCCGGTTCGTGGAAACGATCCATGAACGCGACGTAGTCGATTTTGCCGTCGTGGTTCGTCTCGCAACAGGCTAACAAGAACTCGATCTCTTCGCTGGAAATAAATATTTACATTGGTACTCGTGATTTTCTTCGATCGGTGGAAATGTTAGAGAAACTTACTTCGTGTAACTCTTCTGTTGTTCCATCTTCTCCTTGAAGTCCTTAGGGTACACCCAACCGTCGCTGTTCAAATCGACCTCCAAGAAACTTGGCGACGACACCAGATCCTTCAGTTTCAAGAACATGTCGAAGTATTTGAGAATCAATTCTACGTTGCCAGCTGACTCTACCAGCGTGTCCACCATTTGCTTTCCGATCGTTCCGTTCACGACGTTACCTGCAACGACGAAAGTCATCAAATATTGACTGAACCGGTTCGCATCGATCATGAAAATTCGAACGAAGATGAATTACCCTCAAGCATAGACAGCATCATGGTGATCATGTCCTTCTGCAAGTTCAGCAATTCCTTTAGAAGGTCTACTTGACTCGAGTGCTTCGATAACTTGTCTTGCATGTGGGAGAAGAGGAAGAGGAAACCACCGACAGCGTCCCACAATCGAGAGTGTGCCAGTGCTTGTTGATTCTGCGCGCAAGGTCCTTGAATAACTTCAGTCAGCGTGTTGAATACTTGACTGGCAACGCCTATAGCTTTGAAGAAGTTAGCTTTGCCGGCTGGATCTATTAGTTCCTTGCTGGAGTAATGCCAGTAGAAGTCCATGATAGATTCCTGGAGTCTTAGAAGATAGTCGACGGTACAGATAACAACGTTTACTGTCGTCGTGTTACCAGCTTGAGTTCTTAGATAATTCTGCCAGTCTGTTGGAAATCAAGATTTTCAACTATCTCGTTGAACATTTATGTATTATTATGCAAAATTTGGTGAGTATCAAATTGTAATATCATAATGATTCTTGACAAATAATTCCAAAGGAACGTACCAAGATTGTGACCTTCACAAGTCAATTGGATGAACCTAAATAGAGCACACGTGAATTCAGCGTCGTGCATATTCTTCTCGCCAGCAGCTCCTTCTGAACCGACACCGAGACCTTCGGCTTTGGTGTTCCTCTCGAAAGCGTCTAGATCCAGCACGCTGCAGGAGTTCATCAAACCAGCGATTGACGTGAAGAATCCTACGTCTTTCTTTTCCTTCAAATGGTTTAGCATTCCCCGCTGAATCTCTATGTTACCGCCGCGTAGAATCGAGATGCCCAACTCCAAGGTTTTCATAACCATCTCACTGGGCAAACCTTTGCAGGCTGATATGTGCAACAAGACCATCTCCGCTACGCCGCGATTGGCGAGGCGAGCTTGGTGGAAGAGAAGCTTCTGTTTCTCCATTTCTTGTTCCTGTGAAAATGGGTATTAATCTCGTTTCGATGACTAGTATAATTTCCACTCAACTTATTTACGTTTCTACAGATGAGTTTTAAAAAGAAAGAAAGACACATTCTGTCTTTGAAATCTTGATTAAAGTAAATGTACAAATATATCATATACAAGTGTCTTACCATGAGTTTGTGCATTGGTCTCTTCAGGAAAGCGTTAAAAATGCATAGCAGAGTTACTCATTGAGATTGAAAATTACGGCGACAAAGGTGAAGTGAAATTTAACGAGGACGAGTGTAACGATACACAGAGAGACATAGTACATAGGCAGACATAGCGATTCGTGGTTCGATCCGTTATCATGTATTTACAAGACTGTATGTATGACTACACATACAAGTAACAAACGGGTATAGTGGTAACACCGGGTCTGATTTGACGAGCGTACGGTATGAAAGTAAATGAGTTGCCGCAACGACTACTTATTCTTACCATAAGTAGCTTATGCGCCGGCTTCTACAGTGTTAGTATGTGAGAAAAAGATAGGAAGAAAGTTGTTAATAAGTTTGAAATATACAGAACAGTCGTTCATAATTTCTATTCTCTCAGTATCCAGGGCAGGATAGCTAAAACAGCCACAGGAGTAACTTATTTATTTTTGACAATTAAAAGAAACGCACTGTGTCAGTATTGTTCGATGTCGAACAGGACACAAAACATAAATTAACCCAATGCACTTCTTCCTATTGCAAGAAACAGGTGAGTTATTCAAGTGATTGGTTTTAAATGCTTCGCCCTGTAGTTCATTATATAGTTACATAGTTATTTATAGTATAACAATATAGTTTTATACAACATGGTAGTGTAACTGTTCATTGTATAGTAGAATGGTAGATTATAGTGTAGTAGGTTAGTAGTTGAGATATAATAGTGTTAGTAAAAAATCATAGTGAAAACGATAGAAATACTTACATGGATAGAGGCACCTCCCTCTTCTTCGCCACCTCCACCCTCGTCCTCGCCCTCTTCTTCCTCCTCACCGCAAGATTTCGATATGATGCGAGCGTAGCTCATGTACAACGGATCTTCTTGAAGTGCACCGGACCGTTCTGTCATTGCACCGCGACAGAACGTTGTAACCAATTGCGTGAGAGGGTCTGGTTTGCTCTCATCCTCGTCTTTGTCCATCTTCTTTAATTCTGCGTCCTCGAAAGATTGCTTAGGAAAAGAACAGAAGAGAATGTATCATAAAACCGTTTTATCGTGACAAAACGTATACACTTTGATATAAATCCTTCGCTAGAATCGAGATTTTCAATTTAACTTAATTTCGTTTTACCGTAAGGTCTTCAATCATCACTTCTTGACCGACGTTCTCGTCTTGCAACCAGAGCTCGTAATATGTTCGCGCGAATATGTTTATAGCCCGATGCCTAAAACAGGAAACGCGAGAATACAATTTAATGTATAGATGAACAGAAGTTGAAAGATCGACCCCTTACTTTACCTTCGTAACTTGTAAAGTGGTTCGCTACGCAGACATGCAATTGCTGCTCGCTTTCTGGCCGCACACAACACACGCTTCCATCCATCCCGTGATGGTGGAGGTTTCGTTGCCTTTTAGCAGCATGCACACACAACTATAGTCGTTAGATCACTAATAAACAATAGAGAGAAACAACGTCGATGATTAATGATTAGTATCGCGCGGATATTGTATTCGCAAGCTCTCTTGGAAGAACATCGATAGCAACCAAAACGATGGTTACTGGTCCTCGTAACGGAACTCTAATCGCTTCTACCGAGAGTTAAACGAGATTCAAAGGTAAGCGGCGGAAACTCAAAAAAAACTCAAACAGCGTACAGGCGTAGTGGTTTTCGGTCGGTTAGAACCGAGGCAAACAGAAATCCAGAAACACCAGTAACGCGAATCAAACCAAAAGAGGATACCTGGGCAAGGAATGTAGGGAAGTTTGACGGAAACAAGCGATCACGGCTCGTTTACGTTGTATCGACACCACGGATCGATATTGACCCTTGCTCTGCTGTTGCGGATGATCTATCTACTCAAGAACATAAAATTGCTGGATGAATCGATGGTATACTCCAATAAAAGAGTACTCGTCTAAAAAACCAGTGATCGAATACAAGTAATTAACTCGTTTAGAAATCCCCTGCTTACCATGTGCAAGCCGTAAAGAACTTTGGCCATGTCGGTGATCCTTGCGACCACGTCCTCTAACTGTTGCGCCTTCACTGGTTCCATGGCGTCTTTCTTCTGACCCAGTTTCGAGTACAAATAGTGCTGCCAAGACATTTCGTCGGCGGGATCAATCTTATCCGGCAGAGTCAACTGCGTTTTCGCGAATTCTGCGATGTCATATTCAGGCATCTTCTTCAGGAATCTGTCCTTGCAGTGCTGAACCAATTCCTGTTCGCGGCCGGCAAACAAATTCAGACCTACTGGCAGCAGCCTCTTCAAGCAGGCTACCATTAGAGACGCTTGAACCTCTTTGTCTTTGTCCCTTTTTTTGTCGCGATGTTTCTTCTTTTTCTGTGTAACAAATCGATAGATCGTATATATATGCTTTTTACTTATAATAATTTCCTGAATTACCAACCTTGCCACCACCAGAAGGTGCAGTACCATCCGAAATGGTAGTGGATCTCCTAGTAGCAGTCGGCATAATCAGCACCATGTTATCAATCTCATTCGCCGATATAAAGTTCTGTTCCTCCCTTAAGAAGTATTGCGATTTAGACCAAATGTTGAATATCGCAGCGACGTGATTATAAAGATCTTCAGCCTCGGGTATGTTGTTTCTAAGCCAGTGATTTCTTTGAAGATCGACATATTTGATCAACAGAGGATAGAACGAGTAGATGTCGCGAACCAACAGTTGCCAATCCTCTTGAATCTGTGCCTCGACCTGCGACGTATCATCCGTTGATGATTTGATGAAGCCTCGAAGAGACTCCTCTTTGTGGAACATGTTGTCGGTACGTTTCCTGACACGTTCGGCCAATGGCAAGAATGGATCCTTCAACAGCTCTTCCGAAGAGTTGATGATGATCTGTTGAGTGTAGGCTGCGATACGTGTCATCCAAGGAGCATTCTCGTTACCAATGTTCTTCTTGATCAATTTGAGAACATTCTTGAGAAGCTGGTTCATGTGATCACTAGTTACCATGCTGACATAGGTACCTTCAGTCGGGTTCACATTGTCTGGACCTTGCGCCCACCAGAACGGCAAGTACGAGCAAAGCAAAGGCAGAATCACGTCGACGACATGAGGAACGTCACTGTAGGTTTTCTCAGACTCAACGAATTGATCTACTTCCGCTAAGATTGTCTCCAGTGTTGGCATGCTCGACTCCATCTTCGTCATGATGTCTTGAGCTTCCAAGGAATGATCAGCGATACGATTCAAAAGGGAAAACTGATTGTGCTTGTTCAAATGAGGTTCCAGAAATGCCACAGGGAAGCAACTCGAGAAGGCACCTAGACAGGAACCTAAGTTGGGCTTGTTACGCTCGATCTCAGTTTTCAGGTACTTTCTGTCGTGCGTCAGGGAAGCGTCCACGCCGAGAGTGTACAGAGACGCTAGCATTTTGTAGGATGCGACTTGAATTTCGTCCACTGAAAAGATTCAGAATTTAAGATTAACCATAAAACTTTGACTACACTTTTATTTATCTGAATTATTTATTTACTAATGGTGGTGCCACCAAGATATACACAAATACGTAAAATACTATGGCAAGATTAGCTTCGAAAATTAAATCCAGATAAATAAAGTTCTACTAGGTACAGAACTAGGATATTTACTTACATAAAAGGTCACTGCCGTACTCGCAAGCAGCCAGATGATCAAACATCGCAGTCAATACTGGTAAAACTACGCTGTTGATGTACGACAAAGAGGTTGACGTTTTCAAATGCGTACCTCGAAGATGGCTATATTTTCCCTCTTGGAGATTCAAAATCGTATGACCTAAATCGTCCGCAGTGTTATTGAAGAAGGTTAGCATAGATGTTCTAATAAACTCTGGGCAGTTCTTCACCAAGCTCTTCGCATCAATGCCCTTGACCAACACTTGAAGACAACGGACTGTGATCCTAACATCTGGCCCGAAGGCAGCCAATCTGGACCTTAACAAACTAGCCAATTTGCAGAAGAGAGCTGCTACCATTTCTTTTTCCTTCAAAGAGGCAGCCCCAACGTTGTTGGTCGCGGTAGCCACCGCGATGAAATAATTTCTGTGCGTACTGAAATACTTTTCCATTAATGGCAGCACAACCTTACTGAAGAATTTGATGTCCCTTGTCGATGTTTTGAAGCTGTTTCGTCGGCTGAACGTGTCGGATGGTTTCAATAGTTTCATGTTGATCGTAGCCTTGTCCAAGTAGGCTATCAGCTTCTCCAATAACGAGTATGCAAATCTTAGCTCCACTGAGGCTCCCGCTGTCGCTACTTCCGATTCTCCGCCGCGATTTGGTTTGTGAAGCTTATAACCTTGGTACTGTAGATATTTCAGAAATTCCTGTGAACGTTCACGGTCTTTTCGCTTTTCTTTGTCTGTCAATAGATCGTATGGTACCAACTGAGGATGTATACCGCCTCCTATTAAGAAATACAATATATTTTTCTTATCAGACATGTGCTAGTATGTAGATGAAAAATGTTCTTTCGTGTTACTTTATTACGAACCACAAGTCACCAGCTCTTCCTTCTTTTTCTTCGCCCAGATGTCGTGTGCATTGTCCGCGAGACGTTCAGCCATATTCTGCATCTCTCTGCTCAATGTCAGATTCGTCATGTCAACTGGATGGGGGTTGTAATTGAACGGATTTGCTGAATCACCCTGAAACGATGCAGCGACTTAGTATATTACTAATGTACACAAATATTAGATTATTCTAGATATAACAATGTCCTTTGATATTATTCTAAGGAATGACTCAATAGTTGCGAATGAGCTATTCACTTGACTTTTCGATGATCTTCTCATGGAACTACGATTAGTTGAAGGTACATCCACTTCTGCGTGTTCAACGCTCCATCCTATGGCTAGCAAAGCTTTCAAGCTCTCCCTGACTGGTTCCTTATAACGTTCCCTTTCGTAATCGTTCAACATGTTGTAAGGTTTCAACCTGGGGTGAGTTTTGTTTACGTCTGACCATTGTTCACCATAGGTCCAACCATTTTCTAATTTTCGACTAGCCCAAGCATCGTGATAGTGTTCAGAGAACTTCTGTACTATTTGATTGAGGTCATTATTCAGCACCACACTGAAAAATATTTAAAAGAATATTAAATATTTCATATATCAATATTTGAAGGAAAAACATTCATAAAATGAAAAAGAAACGAGAAGTATCTTTTATGGACCCATTACTTTTGTTTTATTACAATATATTTTGGGAATGGGAAACGTACCTGGAGGTGTTAATTGGCTGCGGATTATAGGGTCCATCCGGCGATTGCGTGGAGGCTGATTTGCTGCCGTACCACTCGTCGTCATAATTTTTAGACAGTGAATAGTCAGGTGGCAATGCACAACCAATAGCCGTAAGGCAGGGCAAGGCTTTGCCGAATAATTCTGGGTCATAGTCCATTTTGGACAAGGAATCGAATATGTTACTGAAGAGAACCATAGTCAAACGTTTCTCTTCATCACTCGATGCACCGTATGCACCCTGTCCGCCGGTAGACCCGTAATATTTCGCGCAACGGTCGTAGTGCAGAGTCAACAGCTGTTACAGGAAATACAGAAAATATGCACGTTTAATCTTAGATTTTAATTCAAACAAAGTGGAGACTTTAGAATCTGAAATCTGCGAATTATACATAGACCCTAGAATTAGTGACTCACTCTTAGTGCAACGGTGGTATATTCTGACAGCTTCGACACATCTACAGTCAACTTCCGGAGCAGCTTTAACAGCATACTGGGTTGCATTTGGCTAAAACGAGGAGAAAGTCAGAACCATGTAATCGTTAAATTGAATCAACAACAATACGTGTACGCTACCGTCCTTAAGTATTTGGACACTGGTACTTGCCACAAAAATACGAAATAAATGGATATTCCAATGGAAAGTGATAATTTCCAATTTTTAATTTTATCCTGACGTGTTCATTTATAATAAAATTGTAGTGTAATGTCTACTAAACAGCGAGGAATTGTGCAATACAATATCCTGTCCGTAACGTCGCGTATTGGCGACACTGTAAGCGATTTATCTCTACCTGCACCGTCTCATGATACTATTCAACAACAGGCAAGCTTTCCTATACTACTTCCTAGCATCTTGTTGGGCTTTCCAAGTAACGCGACATTACGGAGGGAAAATTACAATTATAGTTATATGGGAAAAATACTCCATATGTGAAAAGGATTATTCTTGCTTTATATTGTGTTCAAATATTCTACATGCAATCCTTTAATGGCCACAGAAAACAGACGATTACAATAAAGTGAAATTTATGAGTATACAGTAGTTAAAAAGTTGACTTTTAAAACCTTGTTCTACCACACTGATCAATTACGATGCGTATTCATTCTAACAAAAATGAAAGGCTCTTAATGTCAAGTATACAAATACTAATAGACGGCAGCGTGTGTAGATACAAGTACTCTATAAGCGCAGTCGCCCTTATAGCACATCGAATATCGATATTTACAGTTGTTGTGGGGCAAAGAAAAAGCGGTTTTAAGAAATATTGATAGAACTTACGAGACATTTAATTCGTGGACTTCTCTTGTTAAGCAACAAAATGATTCCGTTAATTATGTTAATCGCGTTTCTAAGAATACTGTGTTTACCTAGTTAAAGCCACCAGGAAGTCCGACACCGCCTCTCGTTGTCCCTTCGTCAGCATTCTGTTTTTACTCAACCGGTAAACGGTGTGTAAAGTAGCGTCGAGGAGACTGGCATAATTGTCCGCTTCGTTGTAGAATTTGGAATGCTTGATCAACAGAGGCAGGATGCTATTCCCGATGTATCGATTCATCGCCAACGCCATGTCGGATTCGTAGCCATCGTTCTGGAAGTATAAAAGAAAGCGATAGAGAAAAAAAATTCATAAAAACATGGCAATTGCGGAGAAGACTATTTGTTAATTTCCAATTTCTTTTAACAGAAATTCTTGTTCGCCTACCCTGTCTAGCATAGTAGCTGCTCTAAGATCAGGCAAGAAAGCTTCTTCGAGTATCTTGAAGAACAATTCCCGTGTTTCGATGCCGTAAACGCGCTCCAAGAACAAAACAACGCTCTGCTTGTGTCCCGGGATCAGGCCAGACGGCATGTCGCTTTTCGGTTTCTCTTCACCAGCCGCAGGGTTCAGCAGCGTGAATCTCAAGGACAAAACACCCTGAAGATCGTCGAGGGGCACCAGCGATCGTAGAATAGCTCTCGCTCGCAAAGACTCATTCTTCCCTGAAATATAATTCTACTTTGGTCTCATTCTCAAAGAGAGATCGTATATCGAAGAAAATCTTTTATGTATTATGTATTTATGTATATATTACCAACTGATTCTGTCGACGCCTCTGTTGCTCGTTAAAAAATAAATACTGTTATTAGATAGATCGTTCTCTCTTTACGAGTTTCTGAGAATTTATGAAGAAGCTCGTGATTATATACTTGGATCGTTGTATAACCCTTATGTCAATAACCAAGTACCCACTTCCGACGTGTGTTTAAATGTGTCGCATGTTCCTGATGTAACATGGCAAAATCGCTTTGAACTTAATACTCTGGTCCTTATTCAAATAATTTATATCGACTGTTGAAGGAAGTTGCGTCTGTATCATAAACTAACTGCAGCTTGTGAACACATATAATAATCTCAGTTATTACGTTTTACTCGAATGTCACTTAATATATCCTGGTATATACTGAAAACATCAAAAAAGTGTTGAAAGGAGACTATAAAAGAGAATTCATTGTATTACACGTGACATAACCGTGAAACATGTAGCATTTTAACATAGTGCTTCAGTCATAGAACAACCCACAAAATTTTAGTTATTGACATAAAGGTTAAGAGTGAAGACAACAAACTCTGTGTATGGTGTTTAGCTTCGTAAATTGAACTTGGACGATGAGGTATGTGCGAAGGCAACAGAAGGATATACTTACGGAGGCGGTTCGGAATTTCTTTCTGATCATTAGATGCAAGCACATGGCTACCGAAAGGTATAGCTTCGATTTCACTTACCTTGCTCGATCACAGAAGAATCCGGAGCGCAGCGACCCAACAAGTCTACCAGGGTACAATAGAAATTCAAGATCGCAGCGCCTGTATCGATATAATCTTCATCGTCATCCGATTCCGGAAGCGGATGCTCAAATTGCATCACTGCTGTCCCTTCCGCTTCATCGTGTACCTGTTTTCTCAATTCAATTAATATTAGATCATCTACAAGGACAAACATTATTGGTAGACCGAGTTTAAAATGATTGCATCTACCTTTCGCCGATCGGCGATGCGTTCAGACATTTTATTAGCATCTATAATAGCTCTCAGCAGACCTTCGCCCTCGCCTCGCAATGCTGGACCCAAACACTCCGGTCTCCTGATCAGTAAACGTATAACCAAGTTTGCATTCTCCTCTACGCTTTCGCCTGAAAAAAATAATAATAAATTTTACAAGAATAATAAATTTTACAAGAATATTAGAAATAATTCACACAAAAATGTATACCAATTTTAAAAGAGTTAATCAAAAATGAAACCTACCATTGACCCACACGCAGAATCGCAAGAAGTCCAAGTATCGTTCACCTTCCACTGGATCCCAACCCAGATCTGGATATCCTTTCTCTACCAGTTCAGAATTCGACTGCAAACCGCAACGAGACAAATAGATAGCAATTTTCTCGAGATAGTGTTCTCTGAGAGCCAACGCAAGCTCCGTGTTCTCCATCAACGATGAATAAGCTACGTCCAATGGTGTTGATCCTCTCAAAGAAGGTCTCGATAACAGAATATTACTGTTCTCCAACAAGAAGTCAAAGTGATCGAACATGGCTTTTTGATTTTGCCTGGATGTACGGCAGAAATAGCAAAGGAATCGACAACAAGCTACCACCATCTCATGAGAAGTGTCTTTCTCTTTGGAAGCTGGTTCTCCTTCGGTGGTTTGGGCTTGAGTCTGAGCGTCTGATTGCGCTTGCGCTCGTCTGCCCAGAGTGTTCATCATGATCGCCATGACGTTTTCGTGGATCCTCAACACTCTGATCAGATCTGGATGCTGGAAGAAAGTGTGATTGTTCACTAACTTCCAGAGTCTCTCTCTGACCAACTCTTCTTCCTCCTGGGACATTTGCACAGGCAACAGTGCACGAATTTGGCTCAGACCGACCCACATCAAGGCAGCGTCGTCTCTTGTCTTGCTGTTGATCACGTAAGTCTTCTCCAAGGCCCTGATTAATTCACCTACGGTATCGTATTGACGAACCAGAAGGCTGAACATCTCACGCACCAATTTCGGTGTTTCGATCTGGGATTCTTCTGCCCAGTTGACGATGGTTGATATCAGTACTTTTCGGAACACCTCTGGAAGGAAATATGTTAAAAATTATGTTAAGAACTCCTCAAAGTACTGAAATACTTCTGAAAATCACGGTGGCTCCGAATTTTGTCGAGGTATAATGTTATAGTGTTTCAAGCATGGAGGAAAATCTTTTCAATGAAATGTATTGGAATTGTGAATTATTCAAAAGAACATTACCTTCTGGAGTCTTCTTTTCCGGTTCAGGTTCTGGCTTAGGTTCTTCTTCCAGTTCCTTTACTGCATTTATGAAATTGAACAGCTTCTTCATCGCTCCAGGCTTCTGAACTTCCTCTGCTGGTTCGTTTTCAGCTTCAGCCGCAACCTGAAGAGCGTTTAGGGATACGTAGGACATCAGATTGCTGTGAAAATCGTTCATTCTGGTAATGAGATCCTCTCCACAAGGTATGTTGTCAGGATCTTCCTCGAACTCCATGTTCTTGAAGCTCAAAATCGCGTTCATCTGTTCACGTGGCGGGCAACGGAATTCTCTGGTTTTCTTCGCTGCTACCGCTGACGGCAGATCCGACTGTTTGATGTCGATGTAACGACGCAGCTGATCGGCTTGAAGGTCACCGACAAAGTCATGGCTGAAGGCAATGATGGACTCGACGCGATGGCGCAGTTGGATGTCGTTCAGATGGTGAAGAAGGTAGCACATCTGGAGTTTCGCTCCTTCCGCCATTTTCATGTGGAGCAATCCCTTCTTGTGTTCGTCTTTCCCTTCTGCAAATTATCAGTAATACTTTGTTATAGAAATTTACATCTAGAATTTGGAACTTACAGTTCATCCAAAGAAATCGCGGTAATATTTATAATTCTATTACGATATAAATGTGTGTAATCTAGAAAAGTTTGATATGAAGAGTTTTTTTTAAAATCTGGAGTGTTCAATGGAACCAGAAACATTGTCATCGTAGGAATAGTATGTTCACCTTTATCAAACGTTGGGTCCCAAGTTTCCGGATGAATCATAATCAAAAGCTTCATGATGTCCTCGTTTCTAAGCATTCCGACTAGCAGCAGCCTATCGACGAGTTTCAAAAGCGGCCTGTAAATAAAAACAGCATTAGCGAAAAGCATACGACACGAAATGTCTGTGGCTTATAGCGTTAAGCGGCGGCGCATTTCATCCTGAAAGCACATCTTCTTCTTGTCACGATATCGCTGACGAAGGCATTAATTATGCAGAATATAGCCCAGCCGTGCACGTATTCACAATGTTTACATACAGGAAGAGATTCTCGTTGCTGCCACCGATAGGGTCTCGGTTGTGTACTTGATTGACCTCGACGGCCTCGTTTAGGGCCTCCATCACGTAATCCCGTACGACGTCCAGAGGGAAGTACGGGCTGTAGAGGCTCCTTATGTTCTCGATCGTTTGATCGCTAGAAGGAATTTCCCTTGATGTCGACAATTAGTTGCAGGGTCCAGGTTCAACTTCGGATTTAGTTTACTTACCTGATATCTGTCATCTTCATTTGCGGTCGCACCGACTCGGTTTCCAGGTACCTGAGACTGTGCCGCATCTCCACGGATTCGTATAAGTCTTTCAGTTCTTGACCTGCAAACAATCACGATTGGCTCATGTATCAATCAATTCTTCAATGTAATCATTTGAAACATTATTTCCACTGGTTATTTCATTTTTTATTCGTTATCCGAGAATAAAGTAACACCGACCTAAAGGAATGATATATTCATTCTTGCACACTTCCATCGTCGTCGCGTGCGACTCGAGATGCAGAGCGATCAGCAAGTCGTAGAATCCTTGTCGTAGGGGCCCGGACATGTATTCCGCTCGAATAGCATATAACAATTGTTTCTGGTCGACGTGTTGGCACAGAGCGTGGGCTGCTCTGTAGTTCGACTGGTAGCAAAGAGCTGCGTAAAGTGTTAGGGTGTGCGCATGGAAGCTGTACGGAGAAAGGAATGAAATGTTATCGTTAGTGTTCAGTATTGTCGTGTAAACTGAGACTTTTAAGACTTCTGGCATCGCGGTTATGATCTATAGTTATTATTGTGTCTGACCTAAGCAATTTGTCCATTTCAATGAGCTCCAAGATATCGATGCATCTATCCTCTTCAGGGATGTGCAACGCCAGCATTGAAATTGCGTCTTCACACAACATGGACCAACCCCTGATGTCAGACAGCTTCAACGCGTGCACCTGAAGCGACTGATTAGGTACCCTGGCCCATTGATGAGGTTTCAGACACTGAACCTTCAATCTGGGCGGGAATTGGGGTATAACGTGACGTTCCGAGTTCTGTAAAACTGCAGCGGACAGTGGCAAAGTCGTCGATGTTCTTCCCAGTTCGATCTGAAGGATCTCTTTGCTAGTGGCTTCCACGAAAATGGCAGGGAACAGTTTGGTGTCGGGTTCCATTCTGAATTTGTGGCTGGTCTCTTTGCCTTCACAGGTGAACGAGACCCAACCGGTTGCTGTGTCCACGAAACAACCAACGAACATCCCTTGGGAGGCTCCTTTGCCGGATGCGTCTTGTGTGACTTCATTGTATAGTTCATCTGCTCTGACCATGTAGCAACTTTGCCTGTCCACTCTGAAATGAAAATATTCTAGACTGGCACGTTGTTCAAAAAACAATGGTAAACGTTATAAACGTTCCACTCATTGTTTTAATCTTAAGAAATCAATTAAGGAAAAGACACAATTAGGTAACCTTAAGGATTCGACTGAGACTAGTTTGATATTTGATAAATTGATTTCAGCTTCAAATTAATATTTGCAACTATAGTAAAGTTTGTGAATAATTGTAATTTGAGAAGTGAGATCAATCGATGAAAATAGAGAGAGCAAAGGTTTTTGGGAGTTTATAAAAATTGTATCAATCGCGCAGAGGGTTAACGGCGAATTGCTCTTCGCGTTAAAACGTATAACAGAACGTACTGTTCAGCTGGTCGGTCATAATCATCGGTTATAACTACGGATGACTTCCTCACGCGAGACAGATTAAAGTCCTTCGTATGTAGATGATACTGGGACGTGACCCAGCCAACATAAACGTGGGTTGGATCCTGTCCAGGAAAAATCCTCACGCCGTAGAAGTATTCGTTCATCAGCTTGAGACAATCCGCGTCGAATATTTCGTTTCCAATAGCCTCGACGCCAGACCCGCTCAGCACTGACATCGCCTTCGGCGCGTTCCGTTCTGGTATTTGAGGCGGTATCACCTTCAAATCCGTCTGCGGCAGACATACGACCGTTTAATTTGCGTCCTTGCTAAGTGACGAAAGATTTTACGAAGCGGCGTGGACGGTGGTACAAACAAATAGATAAATAAAAGGTTTTACATTTGATATGCGAATTTGGGGAGGCCGGCTACTTGCTTTGTTCATCGACAGAGTTTTCGTGCTCTTGTCGGAGACGTCGGAGCGGACAGGCGGCTCGGGCGTTTTCGACTTTGCGTCCGGCGACTTCGCTTTGCGCGAGAAGAACCTGAAATAGTTGTCGCAAGGTCATTTCCTTTGATTATTTTCGTCCAACAATGACAATTACACTTTCACGGGTAAAGCCATTTACTTGGATAAGTAACTATCCGAAATATTTATTGCATCGCTCAAATTTACTTGTCAACGTCTTCAGTAATCTTCTTGGCAACTATTTTCTTCGCCGCTAATATCCACGAAATATACTTATTTCACAAAAACACAAAGTTTTAACGTTGGATTACATAGTGTTCAACGAAGCGTAAGAGTTCCAATATTAAATAGTTGAGTGGTGCAATTCGTATTTCCAGTAACACGTGTTTTAAATAGTTCCTTATCAAACTTTTCAAATTCAAATCAGTTTACTTCAACTTGATATTGTCTACAGAAGAAATACCAATTCCGTGAAGTAAGGATTAACAATGTAACTCACTGTTCTTCTTCCGTCTCTTTGCTAAGCTCGCTAAGAAGGTTCACATATCAGAATCGATTCGTTGTAAATATAATTCATGAGAAGGATTGGTTATGCAGCGTGTACTAACCGGAACGGTGAACGCCCGCGTTTCTTCTTGTCGTCTTTTACGTCTCCGTTCATGTCACCGTAACCGTTCATGTCTCCCTCGCTGATGGCGTTCTCCATGTTACCACCTCGTGATCCGTAAAGGGAACCTTTCCTGGGAGGTCTGACTGGCTTGTTCCTCTGCATCGGCAATGGTGACTCTTTCATCATCTCGTCCGCTTCCACTGCATCTTCGGAGTAATTTCTCTGCAACCCTACATTATCATAAAAAGATTTACATAAAATATCAGTACAGATCCTTACGTATTAAAGAATTTATAGCATTCAAATGTTTTCAGAGTGTCATCAATTAATAGTAAGTTTAACAGAATTTCATTCAATTTCATATTAATTTTCACTTTATAAAGCTATTATTACAGCAAATAGAATCTTAGCCAAATGCGGTTCCTCCGAAATTTTTAAAAATCCTGTGTGATAATTATGCTTAAGTATATGCTCTTGAGAAATGTGTCAGCTCTATCTTTTTGCGAATTATGTTGACAGACGTAAGACAATTTTATGACGACAGCAATATAATTTAATACCTTTAATGTCACTCATGCTGAAACCAGACTTCATAATCTGCTCCATTTGAGCCGATGGCGCGGCTTGTTGCGCTTGTTCCACCTGTTCGGACAACAGCCTGCTCTGCCGCATCTTGATTTCCTGCCATCTTTTTACTTTTTCGTTCTCCGAGATGAACGTTGATTGACAAATAACCGGTAGAGACAACCGTAGGAACTCCCAGTTCGCTTTCTCCATGGTTTCAAACGTATTGTGCGAGATCTTGAGACACGGAGGGGTGTCGGACCCTGCAGGGATCCTGGCAACGTCTATTCTGGTGTCGGCCATGTCGTCGGTGTTCTCGAAGATTGGTTGGTCTTTCGTGTACCAGTATGTTACTGGGCGATTCATATTTCTGGAAAATATATTTTTTACTACACATAGCTACTTTGCCTACATATAGTTTATTATTACATCATATTATATAAAAACATGTATCCCCTATGTAACACGACATTAACACTAGGTTCACCGCACGCGTCAATTTGATAAATATTGAATTTTACACACAATATTTGACAAATGTGTACGTCGATGTTGATTCATGCGTTTACACGAAAATTAATCGTCTATCTTTGAACTTCTAATTTCCAAGATTTAAATGAACGCACATCAATTTTTCTACGAACAATAGAGTGACTATACAATAAATGTCCGTAAACCTAGAGTTAATTTCATTCAGTTTTCTGAGACCAATTCTTTGAATATAATGACAAAAAAGGGTTTTGAACAGTTTTCAATTTAGTTTGAATTCCATAAGCTTGTCGAGCAACTAGTAATTACATGCATCAAGCTTAAGAGATAAAATTGTCTTCAAGAGTATAGTGGCCAAAATGCTAATTCGTAAATAATGTAGAATAAATGCAGAAGTTCTGTAATAAACGTTCATCTTTCCTGTTTTGTATAGCGCAAATGGTATTGTACGCAACGTTACAAGCGTAATCAATCTTCTATTGTCATTAATAAAATACTTACACGCAGAAGGGTTCGTATCCTTCTTGCAAACCGCATGTGGTAAAGAATTTCAGCGTGTTTACGTCCTGACCGAACGTGAGCTTCGCCTTCTGGCCGACTCCAAGAGTAAAGGCCGGCACGAAACAGTCTCCTTGGACGTCGGCGAACGACGTTTCGCCGCCGAGCGCGTCCATCAACAATTCTCCATTCAGAGAGAAACCTGAATACATACACCTCGTTGACACGAACACACCAATAACATCTTCATGCGTATGAGAAAAAACGCTAGACTGATAAATAGTAATTAAGTTCGTCTAGAAAGGGCAAACAGTTACTTCATTTAGCGATCCGAAAATTCAATGGCACAATACTGAAGCGTTAAGAATTCGATTAATTGCAATTATAATCCAGCAATGACCATTAAGACACATAGACACAATACAACTACACAGAAGTATGCAAAGCGAGTGCGAAAATTACTCGAGTAGAATGTTACACATGCAGACAGTAGTATCGTGTTAAATAATATTTAAAAAAAAGGTGGTTTTCATGTCGTAAAGTTTCGTTGAAAAAAAAGTGAATAAAATCGATGGGAGAATGTAGAATGAAGGTACAGGGGTTAATGTCGATTTAGTTCGGAGAGATTGTTAACGTTGTTAGCATCTTCGTAGTAACTACTCTCCCAAACATTGTGCTACTGATCATAATTCGATCTTACGAGGTGGTTCTGGAGCATACGGTAGTTTTAATTTCGTTCGGTGGTTGTTAGTAAACGTGATATCTCTATGAATTAAATTAATAAAGCGCTGCTGGGTGTTGACGGTACAACACCGAATAGAGTACTGGATACTGAAAGTATGGGCAAACAGAGTACGTGAATTTGCTGACTCGATCGATTGTGAATTTTATTACAGACACCAAAAAAAAACGGAAAAAAAGGAACAGACACCAGGTGTGTTCTGTGCGATGATACTTGAGAACGTGTACGAAAGCGTTGCTGCGATGAGGGTGGACAAATAATAATCGTCTACGATGAAGTGGCAACTCTGCTTTTACTGCGAAAGCGTTTGTCGGAGTGTGTGTTCATTGATTAGGCGATCAAGCGAACAACATTTATACTCGACTGCACAATACAGGTAATTAATCGACGTGTGTAATTCGGTAAGATTGTATTCGGTGATAGAATTGCGTTTCGGGAAATTTTGTTCAGTGAAATTCGAGGCTCGATGGTTATCAATGCGTTTCGATCACAGGCTTCGTCTGATTTTACGGTCACTGTTTCTTTTCCTTTTATCGGTTAAAAAAACGGCGTCGCTACGTTCACAGCGTCTGTATCCAGTAATCTATCTCTCCCTCGAATCAAATTGTACGTGTGGCTAGCTTGAAATGGCAGCTGAAGCGTTCGCTTAAAGATTCCGTCTTACTAATCGTTCGGTCAATTAGATCCAGGAATACCCCGACAACGTCTCCAACCTGCCATTGTTTGCCAAATGTTTCGGCTGTGCCCGAGTATACTTTTTCCTCCTTTAAAAATGAAAAATTTCACCAACTCAACAAGCTTCATACACGTTGGCGATCGTGCGAACCGTGCGGGAAATTCGCCACACGGTAAGCCACGAGTTCGGTTTTGACGGTCTTAACGTGCGTCGTAACACGTCGTCCACGATATCCGTGATTCTGTATTCTGATAGGCAAAGAGGGTGGTTTATTTTTCTTTCTTTTTTTTTGGTGGTGTGATGTGGGCTGGGTGAAGATGAAACATAGAACAATCGGCGGTAACACTTAGTCGGTACACTGTACAACGTAGATACGATTTTCACAAGAAATTCTTAAAGACGTCGAATAAAGAAGTCAAGCCACACTCGTCGAATGAAATACCCAGGTCGGTTTCATTCGTCGCGGGGTTGGGGGTGGGCAACAAGGAATGCGAAGTGACGAAAAAAAAGGAAACAAAAAGGAGACTAAGAAAGAGAAACGATAAAAACCCAAAGTCAACATGAAAATAACATATAGAGACAAAGACAACAATAGTGGACGAGAAAACTCAAAGAAAAATCGGTGGACCGTTACTAGATCGGCTGTTGAGAAAATATTGAACTCTTACTGATCGTTCTGTCCGCGACGTCAATGAAACATCCAACTATGTCGCCCACTTGATATTTGTGGCCGAATGACTCGTGGGTACCGGCGTGTACTTTAGTCACCTGATGTTCATGATGGATATCAATTATTCATGACTTCCAATCACGTAATATGGAGGGTAACGTTCGCGGGATGGAATCGATTGAATGATTAATTGTGTCTTACCATGAACGCCGACTTGAATCTTACAATTTATTCTGTAATAAGAACTGCGCAAGGCTGACACTTTGATATTTTCTTTGAAACGTTTCATGAAATTTTGGTAATTGTATAGGATAAGAACTAACTTATCAATTTCAATGATCTTCACCCGCTTCATACAAATCAGTATTTTGAGATAGTCTTCATCGTATATAATCACCGAAACTTCTTTTAAACTCGGTATCTACTGCTATGGTCGGGATATGATAAAATGAGTCGTAAAGTTGCGATTTGAAAACTTACATTGTAACCATCGAATGCCCACGTATTCTCGTCGCTTCCTAGCATGCTTCCGGGCATGCAATCTGCTTTCGCCCACCCCACACGCATTGGACCTGCAGTTAGGACTTCGAACTCGAAGTACCATTTTCCGCTGCTTACCGCGTAGTGCTTCTCTACTCGGTACGTTCTGAAGGCCAGTTGTCGTAACCTGTTTGCCTCCAAGAGCAGAGCTATAGGAACAAAAAGAGTATTGTAGTAATACCAGAATATTAGACACATTGCGTCAATATTCAATGTCGAAACTTGATATAGTGGTTAATACAGTGTTACATTGAATCAATATTTGTCACTTCTGTGTGTTTCAAAATAATAAGTGTTCACGATACTTCACCAAAGTATGAAAAACATATGTTTTAAGAACCTTCATGCTGCTCTCCAGTAGGTGGTTCCAGCATATACCCATAAACTAGGAGCGTCCTAACAGTTTCGCTAGCAGTGTCTCGATTAGCCTTCTTAATAGCGTCATCAACCTTCGGGTAGGGTACTAAATGCGGACTCCTCCTCATTTCTGAATCTTCGTTCAAACCATAGGTCCATCCCTGACTGATCCTCTCCTTCGCCCACAAATTATGCGTATTCTCGGCAAGCTGATCCACCAGCTCCTCCATCTTAGGAGTAAGTGTGATAGCAGTAAGATCAAGAGGCGCTGGTTTGTATCCACTGCTCTGCAGGAATGGTTCATTGGGTAGCCTCAGAGTCTTTATTCTAGAAGGTGGTTTGTCCATGGTAATATAGTACCCCAGGGCCAGAATAGTTTTCAACGTCTGGACAGCCAGTTGCGTGTCATATCGCTTCTCAGCAGCTGGGAGTTTCTCGAATTGAACGATGCACGGATGAATCTTCCTCATATCATCTCTGTGCTCTCCGTAGATCCAGCCAGCCTCGATCTTATTCATCGCCCACATTTCGTGGATGTTCTCAGCCAGCTTGTCTCTTATTTGTTCGACATATGACGGCAAGTTGATCATCGAGGTGTCAACGGGGGCTGGAACGAAAGCAGTGTCGTCCTCGACCAACCAGGGCCCAGCTAACACCACTTTGTTCATATTGCCGAAATAGAAGCAAGGGTCCAGGGATAGTATCTGCTGAGGCAAAAGACTTTCCACTAGGGGTGAGAACTCTTCCGGTGGTTGGAACTTGAGTCGGCCGTGGTCACCACCCAAAAGGAATCGACAGGACAACTTAGAAGAGCAGCTGATCGATGGGAAGAACATGCCGTCCAAGTTGAAGTTTCGGAAGGATCCTAGAATGGGTGCTCCGTTGAAGGTGAACGTGATTATGGGCACCGTCAGGTCCAAAGCGCAGCCGATCACGTCGCTTTTCCTGATGTAAGGTTCGGTGGCGTTGTGAACCACTTGGGTTTTCCTGCCACCGGTCCATAAGTAGGCACCGTCGAAGCCGAATGAATAGAGGTCGTCGCCTACACCGTTTCCTCCCCATTTTTCGCCACCGCCGGGGTACGGCATGTATCTAAACAGAAATAAAATGGATTTATGAGATTTCTAGAATTATATAAAAGCATTTCTCTATCTACTTCTGAGAACTCTCTAGATACCCTGCAGTATTCGCCCAGCCGATTCTCAGATGAGGCATCATGTGTGTTGTCTGCTCGATATGGTCCACGGTGACTTCGAAGTACCATTTTTGATAGAGAGCTGATCCCTCGACTCTACCGACGAATATATTCGGTCTAACGCTAGCTACGTGATCTACTAGTTGCGTTTGTAGCAGAAGGTTTTTCCCAGGCAGGAGGAAGTCGCAGATGTTGTTTTGCGACGAGCGCACCGCGACGCCATTACCGACGCACAGTGAACAGAGAACGTCTAATACTTTTGGATCCCTTCCGTGCTTCTCGAGTAGGGAGATGATTACTTTGATATGCTCGTCCTGTCAACAGTATATGTAAAATAATTCAGAATAAAATAAGTAATAACTGTATTGTTCAGAAACTTGCTGAAAAATCTGCCGTTCTTGTCGTAAGAGTCTATAAAATCGGATGAAAGTTATTGTGTGTAAAATAAGACACAAGCTGTGACCCAGTTTCACTGATCGAGGCGCCAGGAACATTTCGAACAATGTGACGTTTTCAGTAGTCCATAAAAGTTTTCGTGAATAAATAAGCGAGTTGTTTACTCACTCTCATCATGTTTAACGCCTCTGGCGAATCGATGAGGACGCAGTGAAGTACGTCCAACATCCCTGTACCTTCGCTGGAAGCCTGCGAACCCAGTCGACTGAACAACCAATTTAGACGATTGCTGTTAGCGAACTGTGCGCAGTTCGTGTGATTCCCTTTGATAATCGCTGCCAGCAATTGATACAGGTAGCCGGATATTTGGTCCCAGGCTTGTCCGCTCTCGTCTCCGGAAAGCGCGACGAGAAAACCTTGCGACGTGATCACGTTGATTTTGTCGATTGCCTCCAAGATCAGATTCAGGATGCCTTCCTCTTGGAACAGGTCTTGACGATTTCTTAAAGCTCGGAATCTGTTTTGTTTCTCCTCATGTTCTGCAAACAGCAACATTGATTCATCGATAACGACTTCAATAATTGTTAAACACGCAAAATATTAAATTTAATTTCAGTTTTATATTAATTTAATACGAAATATTATAAAATTGCGAAACGTAGTTTATATAATTTTTCTGAGCTATTTTATCCGAGCTTTTCAATGAAGGTAAAATATTAAGATTATAAGGAATCCTGTAAAAATCTACAGTCTAACAACGAGATATGAAATTCTTACCCATGTCATCCTCGGGCTGGGCGAAATAATTGATCAAGTCTTCCAGGCACATCACCATTTCGTTCAGATTCACATTTTGGAAGAACATTGACGCTCTTCTATCTACTTGCAGCGTCTCTAGGCCTCTAAAACATATTCGGCCCTTTTAGCGACCCGCCTGCCCACGTTAACTTATCATTCGGTTTGTAACGTCTCTGTACGATTCCATCGGAGCCTCTAACATTTTCAATTGCAGAGGGTTCAATATGAACGAGTCCAGTGCGACCGATCTTTAGACACTCACGTGATGAACTGTGTGAACAAGCTGCTGCATTTTCTGATCACACGAGCCGTGCGGGACTCCTCTTCTTGCGACCGGGAGAAATCCAGACCGTCGTCCATTTTGCCTTCCTCGTGAAGCACAGCTTGCTTCTCTTCCACTTTACCGACGCCCTTCTTCTTTGTCTCGTATGACTGCCCGGTTAAGAAATAAATTTGAATAAATGAATTTTGAATAATTCACCTATCAAAAACCTATGAATAGGTATCTCGATAATTATAGCACATTGAGAAAAGACTTTATACCTTGATTTATGATTCTTTTAGTAATTAAACTGACAAAAGTTACTTAATCGTTATTAATTTCTAGATGAAAAGGAAATTTTTCTTCGACAGATTAAACGCATTGGTGTATGAACATTTTTTTTGTTTAAATAGCTTTTAGGTAGATTGACAGAGGGCTTACGTAATTCGAAACAACTTGTTGATCCACGATTGTGAATGAAATTAAGAACTTAATTTAAAGATAAATATTACTTATCAGCGGCAGATATAACGTTAACTGTTGTACGAATTCATGTTACCTTGTATGAGACCCACAGACATGTTGTAGCATGTTGCATGATAACAGTCGAGTCACCATATTTGATAATTGGCAAGCCGATGACCTCGAGATCCTTGTCTTCGAGAACAATCTTCTGGTCGTCCTTCTCTTGTCTCAGCCAGAACGTTGACGTCTCTATTGTAGCTTCGTTCCTTTCATAAAATGATAGGGAATTCAATAAACGTGTGCGCGCGTAATCAACATGATATTCGATCACGACCTCTCTCCTTATAAAATAGATGTTTACCTATCGACCAGGTACAGTTCGTTGTTTTCTTTTACGCCTAAATAACGGCCTGTCGTCAAGTGTCTGATCCTCATCGGGTGTAGCCAATTAATGAACCCACCCGCCCATTTTGTTCTTGCTAATTCGAGCCTCCATAAAGATCGAGCTTGGCTCATTACGCTGCCACCCTCGTAGATCACAATACTGTAACCATTAAATATTATCCATTAGAGATATATCGAACTCTGGCTTCATGTTTAATTAAACGAAAGAACGTATCCACTGTAGGATTTAAGCAACTTATCGATTTAATGAATTCCAAACTTCGTAAATATTATTCTTTGCAATTTACGTCGACTTTGTTTAACGTTACGATACGAAGGCATACTTTTATTCATTTCCTTCTCGATTGTGTAACTATTAATTACAATATCTATAATCTAAATTCATAATCGGTTCCAGATTAGCAGAAATAATATTCCTCGATAAGTGTATTGCAAATGTAGACTGGATGTCCGGTTTCTTTTAAACTTGAAGAGTTAAATAAGAATTCGTGTGATCATAAAAGGAATTGAATTTGAGGACAGAGATGAAACATTGAAAATATACTTCTGACTGGGCGCTGTGCTCCAAGTCGACGGTATAGTGAGACACTCGTCGCCGCCATGGAAGAATCGCAAAACATCACCGCCGAACACGTAACCGACATACTTCATTCGACTGATCCCGGTACCGTATGGCTGTACGGACCAATGGGTGACGTGGAACGAGGCGTTCACCACCGACAAATCGTTCTCTTTGGTGGTGTGCTACAAAAAATTTTGATACATTGATCGGTGGCATGTAACGTCTGGTACGGCAGGCATTTTGATAGATGATTGCCGAAACGGTAGGCGCTCGGGAATCGAGCCAATAAAATCCTATAGATTTCGTCTTTTGCTTTTACATGTCGAACGATAATCACCGTGAATGAGTTTTATGAAACGTTAGAAAGCGGATTTTTCAAATGTTTACCAAGTATCTCTCGGTGGCCACGGATACCAAAATGAGATCGTCACCTACTCGGACCTTCTCACCCTCTGACCTCTGTTTCGAAGCTGGATGAACTGTCCACCAGCAAGCCTCCCCTGTAAAAATGGCGGTAGGAATGTAATAGACGCGGAACGGCTAGAATTAGACGGTAATCGAAAGTAAATGTAAAATGTAAGTATTTTCTCGGGGAACCTTGAGAATGTTGTTGTAGACCGACATCGAAAGCCAACTTGTCGTTGGACGAGCTGGTCGACAGACAAGCCAAATACTGCAAAGAATAACAATGAGTAATTTGCGGTACAAGGCAGTCATTAAGCGCGACGGTATTCTTACCATGTCGCTGTTCTGATGCCTCAGTAAAATCGCGTTGCCATATAGAAGAGTTCTGTGGCCCGATCCAGTGCCCTTTCCCTAGAATTATAATGGAACAATGCAAAGATCGAACAATGCGCAGGGCACGGCCTAAGGTACTGATAGATCGAAACTCGGTTAAAATAATTAGAAAAAAAAACGAGAAACAAAACGGAAGAAAGAAGAGATAAAGAAACGGAAATAAAGAAAAAATTAATGAATAAGCATACTGATAAGAGGAGGCCATAAATAACGATCGCTGATGAGTAAAAATGAACGCCAAGCTTATTAAACAGTGGCTGCGCTATAATCGAATGAACGTACAAGAAAATATGCACGTGATAGCGCGGCGTATGTACATACAATCGGTGATCGGAATAATACCGAGTCCGTATTGTCGATGTTCCAGATCGCAAATTATGGTACCGTGTCGAATAGTAACGGTCTAGCAGGTATTGAACATAATCGATACCTGTTTGGCACTTTTACGTATTATCCCTTAAAACAATGGACACTCATTTGACATTTTATCAAAATGGCAACGATTCTAACTGCATATTTTGCACGACGAAATTGTTCAGCGGTCAGTCAGCTTATACTGAAATCCTCTGTTCATTAAATTATGCACGTTAACTAGGAATCTCGGGAATAATCAAATTTGAAATTGTAATGTACTGTTGGATGAATATAATGTTGGTATATTATCATAATTAATGTTTCGATAAAATATCAATTGAACTATTAAACTAATTCTCTTTCACAACAAGTACCGAAGACTGTCGATACCTTTCGGTATTGCTCATCATCGAGCACTTTGGTATCGAACCGCTCGGGTACGGCCGATACGTATCGGTATCGGTCCGATCACAGCACGCGTTCCATGGACCGAGCATTAAACGCGGAAAGCAAACAAGATCACAAAATCCGAACAGAAAAGCCGGTGTAGCACAGAATTAGATAAAGAGGAGAAAAGAATGATAAAAAAGTAGAAGAGGACAAATAACGGAACACAAAGAACAGAGATGAGAAGAAAGAACGAAAATAAAGAAAGATAGAGAGAAAGGAGAAAAATCCAACAAATATGTATATGTATACAGAATGAGAGAAAGAACAGCAAAAAGCTACATATGATGTTACCGAAGCGTGAACAGAAACGGTGACCTGAAGAGTGAATACGAAAGGTATACTTACTAAGCTTTCTTGCTGCTGCAAAGAGAAACATAAGAGTTGTGAATCTCGTTCGTTCGGCAATCGTGAGTATGATGAGAGGATGGCATGATCGATAAAAAAAAGAGAACAATGAGAATGATCAATGAGAAACACGCCTTACGAGTGCGGATCAGATAATATGGAATCGCTTGGATGATTCTCTGATTACGGGTCGCGGGTTTCATGCGCGTTTTTCGATCAGCGCAAAGAAACGTTTGGAAAAAATACAAATGAACGAATGTAGAGACGTCGGACAACAAGATGTTGGGGGTGGCGGCAGCTGCGGCGTTAGCGGCGTTGGTGGTGGTGGGGACGAAGACATATACGAATAAATGAAAGACAATAAACGTGGACACTTTTGGTTACACGGTTTCTTGCTACATGGATGCAGGCCACAATTATTTGGACAAGAGTTTCCTTTTGGGGACTGGCAAAAGTGGTTGGTGTGGGTGGCGTTTGAGGGACGGGGAGTGGGAACGGTTGGGAGCAGTGGCTATTGTGCGTGCAGATGCATTCAGAAAATCGTTTTCCCGTCCTCGTTCGCGGGGAAAAAAGATAAAACTTCGTCGCACGTTCACGGGTAAAAATTGCGCCCATGGACTGGCCGAGGTCGCGTCTTCTCGCCGTCTACTTTTCTAAGTGCATCGTTCCGTTCGAATTAGTGGATAAAGTCGTAACATAAAAACGAATAGGACAGCGGCGTTGCTGATTAATCTCTCCTGCGTTTTCGACGTGTACTCAAACAGGACTTTATGGCCCACTCCTATGCAGATTGTGTCTACACACCCAGTGGCAATTATCTTTTCCGATCTTTTTCTCGTCTTTGGCCCTCGTGCACTGTTCCGCTTCATCGAACGCCGATATTAATGTATCATTTCCATAAGAGACGTGAGAAAATAGCGCGTGAAATAAAGTTCATTCGATTTTCTGGATTACGGAGCCACGAAACATGGGGCTGACGGTAATTCGAACAGTGCGCGCGAGCCGCAGAACATCAAATGCATGATACATAGGAGAGTCAGGTCGGTCGCGTAATTAGCGGACGTCGCGGATTAAAAAAGAAACATACTGAGACCGTTCTTGCGTCGTAACGGTGCACAATGGTGAGAAATTACACGCAAAAATAGAACACGAACGTTTGCACAGGAAAAAGAACGCAGTGCCAGTGAATTGAATTCGTTAGAATTACAAATAGAAAGAGTGAGTAAGAGAGAGAAAAAGAACTGCGGAATTTGTTTTTTCTCTTTTTTTTGTTCCGCTGGTATATATATACACAATATTTTGGCGGTGTATGAGATTCTTCGTAAGGGTGTTGGGTGATAAAGAAGTGTTACGTTACCGTCTCGGAACCGGCAGCGGTAACCAATTCCTGCAGCGCTCTCACCGAGAGCGCTTGTTCTATTACGAATACGCATTGCGACAGGTCCGGGGGTATGTTCTATAACCATAAAGAAAAGCATGCATTATACTCGCTGTTAGTGCCAAATAATGATCGATCTCAATTAATTCTGTAGTATACAGTAGAGCCTGCCATAACGCTTATTATTCGATTAGTAATAATTTATTTGATATTCGTCGTTCCAGAAAGGTGAGTCCAATCGATGAAATTCATCTTTTTTTTGGAATTCTGTTTAAGTCGAAAGCTAGTCATTCTTATCTACATCTGTTATTTATTATGAGAAAATTTAGGTTACCTATCACTTGTATATTTCGTTCGTAATAATTCAATAGTTTTCCGATATTCTGTTATCTGTATACGTAACTATTTTAACGAAATAAGTTCTGATTACAATTTAGTAGGAGAATCGACGCAATTATGTAGGATGTTTGAGTAGGTATATTACAAATTTTGAAGGTTGATTTTGAAAGCCAGAAAGACGGAAATGAAGAGCGAGGAAATTACGATAGAGGCTTCGTTTTTAAGTCAACGATTGAAAACCTGTATGACGATCCGTCAATAGCGGCGCGCGTGAGACAGGTTATTACGAGTATGGACAGTGGTGTACCGTGCAATAAACAGAGATAGAAATCTGACTTACGCAGCATTATTGGTGGATTAACAGTCAAAGAAGTATAGAATCTGTACATAACACGATTTGATTTCATTCTTTCAAAAATGAATGAAATTTAATATTAGAAATGTGATTCTAGTAACACTAACGCATATCTTTTATTAGAACGGTTAAGTTTCCCTCTTAGTACGAAGCGAGGCTCTACTGTAGTTTGAAAGTTTAACGAACGTGCAAACTAGTTTCGAATTTCCATCGGGATCCATTTCGACCGGGATTGGAGATTAAATTTAATTAACTGCTCGCTAAACACGGAAGCTTTCGTCTTGCGGGAATGTGGAACATTTCTCCTTTCCGGATCAATTTTATCGACTGAGCACGATTACCTTGTCCGCGATGTTCTCGAGGAAGCAGTGTCTGTTACCGAAACCCTCGGCCGCCAGGCAAACCCTTTCGCCGGTTGCGGTGCAGGAGAGACACACCATGTCCTCCTGTAAATTTAATTTCACTGTTCAGTTCCTTGATTACGTGAATTGTGTTATGAAGCTAAATCGAATGCGCTCGGTGAAACTCGAGCAATCACTGATCTGTTACCGAAATTTCATTCGATAATAATTTTTCTGGAGAGTTGATATGAAAAATTTATATAAAAAATTAATATCAAAAGTTGATTGTCAACAGTTGACCCTAGGAATACTATTTCATAAATTCGATTATTTTCGTTATACTAATTTTATCGCAGAACTTTCTTTGAATAAAATAAAAATTGTTCGAATGATGTAGAGTTAGAAAAACTAGTGCTGTCACTGAAGACGGAATCTACACAGAATCTACAGATAAATCGAAAATGTAAAATTAAATTTGATCTTTACATTCGAAAAAACTGGATTTGGATTTCAGCCAGGTACGAGTGCTTTTCAATAGGGCTTAGCCAATGTTGTCTGACCATTGTTTACCGTTTCTACTTATTGTAAGCACAAATAGATATGCATCACTGAAATTTTCATCATCGATATAGCGGGAAATGGTATTTCACGTGGAAAAAATGGCTCCTCGTTCTTACAACCTATTTTTTCATCTAGATTTACCTTCTTCGCGATTGTACCACTTATAAGTTCACTATGTAACCTAAGTATACTCTATTATTTAACTCAAAATTAGTCATTAATCGAATTACATCAAGTCAATTTTTCTCTAAAACTAATTACCTGAATAAATTCTTATTCGAGTATTTCATCCAGATAACAATTTACTGTCCGCGACAATCGTTAATCTATCACATTAATCACACAATTCCCCCTCGTTCATTCGAACAATCTGTTCGAATAACATTACACATATTTTTTATCCATTAATCACTTCGATGTTTTCCGGGATAAATAATTCACATGCATGACGAGGAAATGGCGATAGCGTGCAAAAGAGTACAGGGTGAGCGAGACCACGTATAGAAAAAACGATTCATTGATGCGTCGGAAATACGAGTAGCATAACGACGACCTTTGCGAAACGGTAAAATATGATGTAAGCCAAACGGCAGATGTTACGCACAGTGCCAGAACCAATTTGGACCGGCTGAGGAATGCGTGAACGGGTTTACACAAGCATACTGGGAAATGTTCGTCGGTGTTTTCGACGCGGACCGTCCGGGATACTATGCCCGTTGTTTTTACTAAGCATACGTGTTACTTAAGAAGCGGCAATGGCAATTCTTGTGCACAAGAATTGCCATTCGCTATGAGTCAGACCGGGACTCGAACCCGTCACGCGACGTCGCGTTTAAATGAAATGTAAACGGCTAAAGACAAAGACTGGCATTTCTGAAAATAGTTCCGATTTAAATAAATAATGTACCCTATAACACTGTTATTTTATAATAAACAATGATTACACCTTTCCTGGTCACTTATCTATCCGCTTAGAAAGAGAGTTCTCCAAGTCGTTCGTTGGAATTTTCACACTTCATTCATTGAAAGCTAAAGACACTGTGGCGTATCGTTAACTCGAAAAATTCATTTTCGTCTAATCAATCAATTTATCTAAATAACGATACATATCATTTGAAACGAGTGTCCACTTATTTCCCGTGAAATTCAGTTAAACTTCTAACAATATATTTTGATACCATTAACTGTCTGTTCCTTCATTTCAAATATAAATCCATTCGAAAGAAATTTAATTTAATTCTATACTCTTACGGTTTCACCTGTTGACAGAAATATTCTTTCTAGTGCCTTTCTAGATCAAGGCAATACGTGGCATTTCCCTTTTCGACTATCACTGAAATCGCAATGGCATTTTGACTGTCAATCCAAGGCACGACAATTTCCCTCGGCCGTGAATATGACGTTGTGACCGTTGCTCTTCATCGGCGAACACGATCATATTCGTGAGCGCTTAATCGCGTTATCAGGGCCCCGCCGCGCCGATCGACCGTTTTAACAGGTGAAACGCTAATTTTGAGTGGGCGCGGATATCTGTATCACCCGGTCGCCGCTCGGATCCGTCGTTCTAAATCCGAACGCGGCGATCGTGTCGTCGTTTAAAAATAATTCGCTGGATTAAAACGAGGCGAATCACGTTGACGCGTTCGTTGCTCACTTTTCTCTAATTGTTGCGCACCGTATCGAACGGTTCAGGGAAAACTCTAGTGCTCGGTAATTTAGAGTATGCAGGTCGCACCACGTAACTGGGATAAACAAGTAACTCCGACCGTTTCTATACGAATATATTCTTTAATGGCAGAGCATAATAATATTCAATTATGAATATGGAGGAACACGGAGACCCGGCAGTCCTTTGCACGCATTCTTCACGGAGGAAGAAAGAAGAGAAATTCAGAATGAGACGGTAGTGAAATTCTAACGGACAAAGAACATAATTATAGCGTCCTTGATGTTCGCTTTTTAAATTTCTGCATAAAGAGACCGATTTTTTTAATGAAAATGAACGTCGTATATATGTCCAACTTTCTAAAGATATTCGAAGAAAAATTACAACCCCTTGCCTCATACAGAGGCATCCAAAGAATCTTGTGCCAATGGTTTCAAGCTCAATTTAAAAAACAAGAGTGCAATCGATTTATTTACAATTACAGCGTCGGTTTCATCAATATTCCATGTTCGAAGTAAACATAAATTTATTGTATATGTTGCTGTTGTTTCTTTTCCAACGAATCATTAATAATGAAATAACTCTGGTGAGCTCAGTTGTAAAACGAATCGGGTAGAAAGGGTTTAATATAGATATTAGTAACTCCAAAAATAAATGTAAAAGATATTTCCTATAGATTTCATTGTTTGTATTAAAGACAATAGTAATAGGAAACGCGTATCGACTAACGAAACGGCGAGTATAAAAATCGTGCGAACAACCGTAACGAAACTATACATGACGAGGAAATAATTGTCGTGCCGCGCGTGGCGGCGTTTGAAATTCCGTGTCGTTTTTTAATCTTTAAATTTGTTCCGTTCCCCTGTCGACCGGTTTCCGTATTGTTTCGCACGGATAAACGCGGCACGCGCGTGTCCGTTCCTAAACGCACTGGAAATAACGCCTACGTCGCGGTGGTGTTGCATTCATAAATAATGCCCGTTGGAGGGCGGATTAACATAAGCTGCGTTATGCGAAACGGCACGCGACTCATCTGGCCGTAATTTGCATTTCCGGCGCACGACACGGCCAAAAATTCTCGGAAATTCGGCCGACGTTAGCGTTGATGATTTTCTCCGCCTGCCCGCGAGTTCCTCTCCATTCTTGCTTCATCGGAGTCCTATCGAAACGGCCCCGCGCAATTCCCACGAAAAATTACTCGATCGATCGTCGTTGTGATCTTTCAACCCATTTGCGTTATTAACGTATATATAAACGCTCAATTTTCTTGGTCGCTGCCACCTTCTTCATACTTCCTTACGCGGATGCTTGTTTGTGTAAAACAGCAGAATGGGATACAATGATTCAACTGGAGTTCTAGTGATTAGGAGTGAAAATTGTAAGTTCAGTAAGATCAGTCAGCGAGATTTATCCAAAAACATTGAACTGAATTAAAAATTTTCGGTAATATTTTTTGGTTTCTACACCGTCAAGGAATATCAAGCCAGTAATCGATAGATGAAGCTGCAAAATAAGCTACAAGTAAACTCACGTCATGACTATCATTTTGCCAAGGTATAAAACAGGCAACTAAGTAATTTGAACAAGAATCTAGGGTAATATGGAAACAAACACAAACAGATAGAAAAGAACATAAGAAAATGTGTAGAGACGTGGAACGTCAAAAGGAAGTACAACGATTTCAACGGAAAATAACAGACAATGCTAACACGACTTATAGTAAATGCGAGGTGCGCCAGTTTAAAACGTAACTATTTAATTGAACGAGAAGTCTCGTGAAAATTATAGAACTTGCTACACACTCCATTTACAGTTGAATAAATTATCAAATTCCGGAAGTGCAGAAGTCGAGGGAAAATACTGGGACAAAACGACGACGTGACGAATATGGTAAACGTTCCAAGAAACACAGACGGAATAAAGAAGTTCGAGTGTTATACGAAACCACACCAAAAATATTGAATTCTTGTGCAAAGCGAGTTGCCAAGGACACTGACAAAGTAACGAAGTACCAAAATTGTCGTTGATAACTACAGCTGGCCGATATAAGTTAAGATTCAAAAATCAACATTGAAAAATGGGCGATGAAAACGAAATGCATGAAAAAAAGATAAGAAAAAATGTTTGAGAAAAGGCGGAAGATATGGAAAGGAAAATGCTAGCGAACTGATTATTTACATCGGCCCGCGGAATCAAGTGCGATCGAAGCTGCAACGTGTTGCGGTATAGGTCAAGGGTGCGAATATATTTTGCCGTGGGATAGTCCGGCGCAATTTCGTCCCCGCGAAGAGTAAACATAAATCATCGGCCGGTCTTCTGTGTTCACCGCGGGGATCTGGCCTCGCGCGTCGCGACGCTCCGCTTTCGTCGAAATTATATTAAAGCAAACGTGCCGGATGCGTTTCTATAATACTATACGCGGAACCTACTTCAGGCATACGGGTTCACTGACTGAAAAGAAGTTGTTCCTATATAGAGCTCTTGTTAATTCTGAAACTGGGTTGAATGGCACGTATACGAGTTTACTTCATTTATTATTCTATACGCTAAAGTGCCTCTATAGTTTTACACCGGATTTGCGGGGTCGGTTAATTTCATGGATTTCTGATTTCATGCTCATAGCTCTGGAAATCGTGTTCATAATTTTTAGCGATATATGGATGCACATTCCGAATCATCACCCTTTTTGTTATTCTTCCACCCCTAATTTCGAGAAACAAGTTGGAATTGAAGATAGAAGAAAATGATAAGGATTATGCTTCTTCAGGGGATAAACATATTCGATGACATTGCATAAACAAATTTCTTGTCAAACCATGTTTTAAAAGTTACCTAAAAATGGTCGATGGGTTTTCAAAGGTCATAGTGTTGAACTTTC